ATATTTTTAATTATTAACTATCCCACAAGGACTCTTTAATTTTCCGGGATAAAAAGTTGACCAGGGATATAAGGTACCACCATGCAAAATTTCATTTAAATCTGTCCAACAGTTTCGGAGATTAGCCCGTACAAACAGACAAACAGACAGAGAAACAAAAAAATTGAAAAAATCTGGATTTGTTCTATTTTTCTTCTTACATACCCCTGACTCGGTTTTTAGCATATTTTTTCTATGTACAGACATTCGACCTCCACAGTTTTATTATATGTATAGAATATATCTTTATGCATCCAAATACTTTTTTGTAGGTAGTCCTGCTAGTGCCTAGTAATTAATATTATAAAAATTGAATTCAGTTCATTTGACAGATTCATTTTCAATGTACTCTAAGGTCGTGGCAGACACGAGATCTGTGGATTTTTTGTTGTGATGATTATGCCAAAGTTTAAAAATATTTAGGTCATAATTTATAGTTAATATTGTTATAGTATTTTTGTACTTTTAATATGTTTTTTTTTCTCTTTTTTATATACTTACTCGTACTTGAATGTTTTTAATGTATACGTAATTGTTTTTAATACTCCTCTTAGTTTACATGTAACTAACACTTTCTAATCGCACGCAAATAATTGTAAGTAGAATGCCGAGTCTATACACCTGTAAAGGCGAATGTATATGTTACAATTATTAAAGGGACATTATGATAAGTCGATGGTGTCTCTTTCTAATAAATAAAAAAAAAATTTTGAAAACTTTTTGGAATAGACGACTTATTACTGCTTGAAAAGGACTTAGCACACTTACGCATTTATACTCATATAAACTTATAAAATATAAGTAAGATTAGAAAATGACAGAAAGATGTTGTTATCAAACCCTCCGCTTTCAACACATACTAGAAAGCATACGATGGCGATATTTCATACGCATTAAGCAGCGGTTATTAAGAGGTACGTAATAAGCAAGCACACACACATTGTCAGCAAAATACCGTAACTTGCGAGCGAGGGGAGAATGGGGTAACATAAACATACAGCAGGTGACACTTCATAATTACATGTAATTATTTTTTTTGCTCTACAGCTCGAGCAGTTGTTTTTAAAAAATTTTTAAATGAGTTGAACGACGAACTGGTATTAACCTTCGGTCTTTGTTAGTAATTGATGTACAAATTAAATATTACACAAATGTACAATTATGCATTTTAAAATTTAAATATGTAAGTATATGCAAAGAATAATTCATATACGGTTAAATGCATAGTAGTTTACTAAGAAATTGAATTACGGTTTCCATTCTTTTGATGGGTAATCCTTGAATTTATGATAGGCAGAGGACAACAAGATTTTTGCCATTTTTATCTGATAAGGTTAAAACTGAGTTTATTTGGGGCGCTAAATGTTATAAAAAAAGAGGATAAGCAGTTATAGAAGCTATTTTTTATATAACAATTTACCTTATATATAACCAGATATATTTATATTACTATGATAGTTATCGTGATAAAATTTTATCTACCATATAGTCGACTCAAATTGTCTACTATATCGGAAATTAGATACTCGGCTCTCGCAAAAAATTAATATTTGTACTAAAATATACAATAAAAGAAAACTGAATGATAAACCACTAAGCTAGCCGTATCTACTCTACTTTCAAAGGAAAGTCTGTGAGGATACAAAACCCAATAACGAAATATATTACATGCCATTTAGTATATTTTACTATTAAGTATAGACTTTCATTAGTAATCCAATTAAACAACTCGAGTGAAGCTAGATTTACCCTCTTTTAAACGTGCGCTTAAACTTACAAATAAAAAAGGAGCTAACGTTAATGTGTAACCGGCTGAGCAAAGAGAGATCAAGGGGTCGCAGAAAGCTGTTCGTTCTATTGTTGAATTTGTTTGGGGCGTAAATAATTCGTCACACGCCTCACTCAACACTAACACTGTTACTTCAAAACTGCCATACAAATTACAATTACGAAATACTCCGCTATAGGCATACATTGACAATGGATTTAACTTTAAATGATTAATATAAGTGAGACGAAAATGGTAATACTTGTTGCTTTTGTTGATGGATTTAATTATCCCACGCGTTTCTACTCGTGGCGTATTATTCCGACCCGTCTTATCGTAAACGATCACATTTAGTAAATACAGGTAAAATGTTCATTATCTCGATAAAGATAAGCCGGTTTAAATATTTGCCTTTTAATGATTATTTAAGAAAAATTCTATTAACACAGGCAAAAGTCGAGCTATTATGATTATTAAGGCTATTAAAAATAAATGTTGACAACCTTTAAATAAAGAAGGCTCCCGCGAGAACAAAAGGACATTAAAGAAATAACGGCCACTAAATTTCGAGGCTTGACAACGTTACGTTTGCACAAGGCATTAACTGAAGCCGTAACCTTATCCAACGTGTAAATTTATGCAACAATCTCATCGAGCCGCCGTGGGATCAGGGTGTCAGCGATAACGCGAAATTGACACCACGCCATCAATCACTTTAGAGCGAGTGGGCCGATTGAGTGTATAGTGTCGCGTTGCAGTTGTGGTTATTGGCTACAAATTGCTGTCGCTCCAGTGATTAACTATGCAACACATGCAGTGAAAATGCCAAATGTCGTCAATTCTTTACTGTTTGAAGCAAGTCCGTACGTGAGTGAGTATAAAGAATCATCTGACTCAATAGCCGAGCTATCTCACGATCCAATGAATAAAGGCGACGTAAATCCTCACACAATGCACTCGTAGCAAACATTGTATTATTATCAATAAAATAATAGCCAACGGTAAATACGGATATAAAAAGGGCTAGATGTAAAAAGTAAAAAGGAGATTGGAATTAAAGGAGGAACGTAATTATAAGATATTTTTTTACATTTAGTCTATATCTACATATTTATTTTTATAATCGTTATGGATATGCTCATAACTAGTGAAATAGGATTAATAAGAATAAATACACGAAAATTACTTTAGAAAGAACTTACACAAACTTTTTGAATTTATTTATAAGTGTTCTTTTTAACTTAATTATTTTTATCTACATTCTCGGAATTTTGTAAAAGTTAGTAGAATAAATACTAACATACCCCTATCGCACTTGAATTATACCGTGATTCCTCGGCTTTCGAGAATAATGCTTTAGTTTTTCTTATTCGCAGTCTTGGTATAACTCATATAACAAAGAGCCGACCGCAGTGATCGTAACAAAAGAATATAAGAAATATCTCCCCCGCAATACGATTCGGATCGCGAGTTCGTATGTATCGGAAAATATTCTTTGCTCCTCAAATATCTGAGTACATAGTTAAAATCTCTTCTCATATTTTATCAAAAGAATGGCAAATAGCTTCAACGTATAAAATAAATTGCTTTATACAACACTGTAACGTTATTTTCTATGATAGTATCTAATGTGAAATTTTGCATTATCAATTTTATATGAGCATAACAATCGTGTTGGATTTTTCAATTATACTTAATATATATATATATATATATATATATATATATATATATATATATATATATATATATATAAATATCATAGTTAAACCAGTGTATACTTGTTGTTTATTGATTAAAGCGATTTTACTACTACCTGAGGAGGATCATGTAGGTAAATCCGATTCGCATTACCGTTGGCATGCAACGACGATAAGCATTAATATTACAATGTAACATCATAATGTTGTACCATCAATTATGTTAATTAATAATTTCAACTAGTACGTAAAGTAAATAACAAATGCTTATTATAATAACTTAGCGCGGTTCATGGACGTCATCATTTATCATTTATATATTAATATGTTGTTGCTTTTGAATGCCTATTTACATTAGTTTTAAATACATCCACATTTACAGTGTCACATTCAAATGTAAATTATGTGTTATCATAAATTAATCCCAGATATTATCTATAGTAATTACATTGAAATATAGTATATTATGTTTAATGATAAACATTATGATTTCATGTTTTAATTACCACAACTGCAAAACTTCCAAGCGTGAAGGAAGATCTATAAATAAATTCATTTTGGTAATTTATTTTTTCCCGAGTATCGTTGTAACCGTCTATAAAGCGCTTTGTAATTATCCGTTTGTTTAAAGAATGTATTATACAAATAAACTTTACGAGTCGAACGTTTAAACATAACTTTTTATTATCTCACATGTCTTCTTGGATGCACGCACACATAGAAATAAAAAAAGTTATCGCCGCCTACCGCGCGCTCGGGGCAGGCATGTGGTCTCCGCTCCCGAGCCCAATTACTCGAACATTTTATAATTATCAATCGAGCGCGCCCGTATAATATTACGCTATGAATAAATGTGCTTCAATCAGAACTGTATAACAGCAGTAATATTTTGTTATCCCTTCATGCATAAATGTTTGTATAATAATTTTGGAAGCCATGTTCCCGAAACCCCTTTCCCCGCGCCTCCTCGCCACGTTGCACACGCTTCACGCGGGATCGGACCTCTCTCTCGCTTTAGTTTTATAAACAGCGGTACAGCCGGCACTCAGCCCGCTCATTGCACGTTAATGATATTCTTACATGCGAAAACCTTTCTGTATCGGTTTATGTCTATGTGATAATTACTTGGCACTTTACGAGCTCGTGGCTCGACACTATCTGCGACGTTTGCTGTAAAAGAAACGTCACTCGCAAAACGAACACTAGTTGGACATTATTTGCGTGTAATTTTACACTTTGCTCTTCCACTTAGTGAAGCGTGAAATGATCGCAGCGCGGGGGCTGGGAGTGTGGAGCATGGAGCATCGCTATCTGAATTCTGAAGCCGTTTTCCCGCTCCGCTCGGCTCGGCGGTCGTTCTCGCTAGCCGCTAGCGCTCAGTATTCGAGCAGCGTGCATTCGTGACGCGCGCTTGTTGTTCTTTGTAAGGCATCTTACGCTAGTGTCAAATAACTATGTGTTCCGGTGTGCTCATCCATACCGTTTCTTTGTAGGTGTGTCGACGTGCTGTCTGGTGCGAGAATCGGTCCATGGTGTTCAAGTGATGGTGCATTAGATGGTGCCACTCCCGCAGTGATAGTGTTAACTAAGTGCTGTTAGTGCTGTATGGATTGTGTCTGTTTGGGATTGCCATCGCCAGTCATCGATAGATCCAGTTGGGAACGGTGAGGAATCAATCATATCTTACAAGATTATTTTTATCTCACAATTACTTACGCTTCATTATAGTTTTTGTTTAAATATGTATCTACTCTTATTTGCTTAAAGCTTTGTGTTTTATTTAATGTGTGCTGGCTACGAGTACGTGTGGTTGATGTTTATTCTATTATGTAGACGTGCCTTATCACAAAAATTCGCAGCATGAGTAATATCGTTAGTATAATCTTATATTTTACGATAGGTTTTAAGTATTTTCAATATAAGATATATAATACAACATGATTTATATACATTTTATAAGTTTGATACAAATAATTAATGGACCACACGAGGATTTAATTAATTAACAATTCTTTACAGTCAATTAAGTCAATTAAGCTGGTTGCTAAATGTATGAAGTGTAATATAAAATATCCTTAATTATATTTATAGTCTGTTATTATTAATATTTAATGAAACACTTTAATATTAATAATAACTTTTTACTGAAGTTATTTTAAAGTAACTGCATATAACATGTTTCTTTTTTTTTTATTATAAGTTTCACACTTTATTCACCTATTAAACCTACCTATTCAGAGAATGATATAGGTCTGCTAAATTAACAGATACCAAAATCAATTCGTATATTTTTCATATCGCAAATATGTCCTGAATAAGAATATAGGGACCATGAGAAAAGACAATAAAAACGTATTGATACGTGAGAAGGGGACAAAAAAGCAAAATAATATGTGAAGGCTTAGTCCTATCACGGTTGTTTGTACTGTATATAAAAATAATATTTTGTACGTCTACACGAAAGACTGACATTTTTATTTTAAACGTTTTTATTTTATGTTAAAACTTTTCCATTACAGTACACACTTCAAATATTCCCGTTTTTTATTTATTACGATTCCAAGTATTTAAAGTTGTAATCTGCATTTCGACGCGTCGGATGGCGAAAACGAGATGTGCGATACATGGTCACAATACCATTTAAGTCGTTGCAAATAGCCTTGCAATAAAAACAATAAAAAGTTTTAATTAAAAAAAATATTTAATAGGTTTAATCCTAATCTTAATAAAAATAGCCGTATATGTGACGACCTCTGCCACAGTCTAATGATGCAAATATTAATAGATAAATAACATGGTATGTAACAGTATAGATATTGGCTGACAATTAAACTTGATTTTGTCGCTTCAATGAGGTCAAAACTTTAAGGTCTAAAGCTTATTGTACAGTCGCAATTATATTATTTTTAGATAGCTTAAGAGCTCTCGTATTATTTGTAAAAAAACTTTACTTAATACTTAAAGATCAAGTACCTAAAATAATAATATATTTAGATTTTAGCCTACATACTCGTATTAAGATCTGCCTTCAAGCTATAAAGTATCCTATCCTCTAAGGTTTAAATATAAATAACATTTTTTACTTACGAATGCTAACAATTTTATTGGCTTATTTTATTTGTATAGCTAACGATATACTAAAAGGATCTTTTTGTTAACAAAGCTTTGAGCATCCTTTGTTTATTTTGAAACATCAAGAGGGTCAGAATCCATTACGGTTTTGTAAAGAGGCAACCTTTAGTTTATTGAAGGAAATTACGGGACAAAAATTTTGTGCCATTGTGAAAATCCTTCAAAATTCTCAGTGTTTTAAATATTTGCTTACTTTGTTCCTGTTATTATAAACTTGTTGTAATATATAAATATAGTAATTAAAGTAGTTTAATATTAGAATAGGTTTACATATTTGATCGAATGTGTAGTTACTGATAGATAGATATCCCATCGTAGCTGCAGTAGAGCTCAGGTGCCATCTTGTCCTAGTTGTTATTTTTTAATGATACACTTGTCTTCTGAAACATTCGCATTTTTTGTTTAGTAATCTGATAACAGCACTAAATAGAAATACTCGACTTGACTTTGATAGGGCTTGAGAGACTTATTTTTCATATTCGTACATTATTGTTTGAGCATAGATTCTTTGACTTGAAAATGTTTCATTAGGCTGATAAATATATTAATTGATTGCATTATGTACGTAATAAGTTATAATAATAATATATTTTAATGAATTCGCTTGTCACCTATTATTACCACATTGGTCCAGTCGATTTGTCATTACGTTAAGTCAATATCATGTGGCGTGTGATCTAAATAGTTATTTAATTTCTTAATATTTTATCTATACATATAATAAAATTCTAAGTCGAATCTGTACATTAAATATTGTTTGTAAAATCTTAATGAAATAGATATTATTATTATTTTTTTTACTTTTTTTTCTTTATATTGCATATTACATTCCAATTTGAGTTAGTCTGTGCTACATTTTGATTTATAAAATTAAAAAATATATATAATAACGTATGTACATAATATGAAAAATGGTTTCTTTGCGTACGTACGTAATATAACGTACCTATTGCGTGTATATGCGATATAAATAATATATTTTATTATATAAACAATGTTTTCATAGCAAACTAACAATGAGAATTTACATTATACAATTAAAGTATTATTATAGCAAAACGCTATTATTTTGAATAAGTAAATCGTATGTTCCAAATAATTACTTATTATGTAGATATATTTATTACAATTCTTCGTTTATACTTTTCCAATCTTACTATTTCGAGATAAATTAAAAAAAAAATTGAAATTCATTACATAATATTTACTTACTCTAGCTTAAATTTGAGAATAATAAATAAGGGTGTTTTCTTTCTACTATTTCTCGAGGCAAAGTTAAAAGTCGATTACCGCACACATCCCACGCCTGTCTTAGTGATTGCGTTGACGTTATTGCCTTAAACCTTACGAGTAACTTATACCGATCCCTTTATTACCTATCCAAATCAATTTAAGCTTTTTATTAGGGTATAATCTCAAAAGTCTTCATATTTTATTAATATTACTTTATCACTTTTTACGTTTGATTTATTTTGAATATAAATATAAATTTTTAACGTAATCTTTAATACATGTTTAGCTTTGATATTTTTTTAGCCTATTCTTATTTTTAGTAACACGCTTTTGTCATAAATCATTGTATAATGTAAGTGGAACTTTGTGCCTATTCAATTTTGCAAGTTTGATCCAAATTCATGCCAAATATTCAAGTATTGATCGGCATTCAGATTTCAATAGTGCAAAGTCGTCACGTCATTCAATTGTAATACTTGGCACTTCAGCCAGTTTATCTAAACCTATGTACATATTATAGAATATAGTAATTAATATTGTACTGTTGTCACGTGTCCAAACCCAATTGGAAAAGGTTTCATCAATTTTATGTCATACAATTTTCTATATATATATATATATATATATATATATATATATATATATATATTACATTCATTAAAATATAGACTTTCAATATATTTGTGTAATAGCAACATCGTTTTTATTACTCTGTATCGTTTGTTGCATTGCATAAAATATTGAAATAAACGTTTAAATCAATTCTACCGGTAATGTTAATTGCGGGTTTTAAATTTCACGCGCATTTGTTTCCTTTCGAGTGCAGTTTATTAGCGATTCGTTAATTATAAAACAATTTGCACGATATGCCGAAAGGTTTAATATACGTAAATGGCGTTTATCGCAAGTGTATTTAATACGATAATGTGTGTACGTCATTATCCTGCCTCATTATTGTTACGTTTTAACGCTTGCGGCACAATTTTGTTGATAGCTCAAAAAGTTATAATAGAAATGGTTTCACGTATCGTATTTCGACGCGTCGGCTAAAACAAATAGATGAATGGAGTAATATGATACGATATATGAATATATTCAATTTCTTGGAATAGACAGACAGAGAACGTTCTCGCTGGATAAATATTCCATTTGTCCGATCTTAAACGATGAGTGATAGATGGTAAAGGGTTATACCCAATTACTACAGAAAAGTTCCTTTAGAAGAAATAACTTTCTTATAGAACGGAAATACAGGCATATTAAATATTAATAATTTAATTAAACAAAAATGTCACTTCACACATACTAAGATCTGTCACAACATACACTATGTATAGCATATAGATACCTAACATGTTTTATATGTAGGTTATACATAATTTTAAGTGCGAGAATCGAACATGCGACAGTAGGTTTAAAGTACAGTACCTACCTGATGACGAATATTTCTTTAAATTATAAACACAAACGACGTTCAATGACACCTTTGGCTCAGTTTGTAGTGACCCTACTTACTGTGCCAGCGGTCACGGGTTAGACGCCCGCTTGGGCATTCATTTGTGTGATAAGCACGAATGTTCATATTTTTATATGTATGTATTTAAAGTTATATATGTGTAGTGTATCAACTATCTGGTATCTATAACACAAGCCTCGTAGCTTTCCATGGAACTGGATGGTGCTGTGTGTTAATGTCCCAACATATTTATTATTGAAATATAAAAATCAGTACCTTTGAAATTTAAGTATACATAACTAATGCGGCATCCAATAGTTCAATCCCATTCAATTATAGGTACGTTATATTCTAAGTCGATAGTAACTAACATCGTTATAAGAACGTGAGATAATCAACCAACATCCATTATCGCTCACATCGTAGATTAGCTCGCGTAGATTAACTTTTTAGATGCAATCTACTTGATGGCTTTTTTAAAGGCTTATTAATGAAGGCGCCGATAAATATTAAATAACCAAATGTCAGCAATAATTATCTGCAAACCGTAAACAATTTATATGTCAATTGATTATATTATAATTTAATTGAGAGACTCATAAAAACTTGTATTTAATTTTATATAAAAAATAGCCATAGACTAAAATTTATACTTATTATTATGCTGATGTGACAAGTTTTATGGGACTTTAAATATCTTGAAACGAGTTTGCTTTCTAATTTATAAGATCCGATTGTTATCTTGTGCTAATGAAAAATAATTTGTCCTCAAATCTGTTAAAAACATTTTTATGTAGTAAAAAAATGTCAAGTATTATTATAAAATATGAATCGCAGTCGGGAAATATTTTTATTCGTACAGCTGAGGCAATATCTCAGAATCCCTGTGTAGGCATTACGTTTCCGCGTCACAAGCAATTTTTCTCATATAAAGTGCAGGGCCGGGTTCGATGTTCGGGCATCTCGCCAAGTAGCGCGGCTTGCCCGTAAATCACTTGTACCAAGCTCGCAGCGCGCCGAAGAGCCCCCCCAATCAACCGGTCTATTGACAAACATACGGCTCGAGCATAATGCTTTTTCCCGCGATTTATTCCTGGCTATCTCTTTGAAATTCACATTCAATCTAGTATTATTTAAGCTTTGTCAGTGATGAATAATGGCTAAATTTTCGGTTTTATACGCCATTTGATCGGTACTTCAAAGCAGGAATAAGAGTAGATGAGTGTTTCATTTTACAACTAGTAAAACTCGTTTTTATGTAATAAAAAGTAATGATTTTCTTTTGTTTTGTTATTTTTCTTTTTTTTTTTATTGAACATGACGTTAACTTTTCATGAAGATAAATGAGAGCGAACGACTTATGTTTCAAAGATAAACAATGAGTGTGTATTATAAATGGTATCGAATATTTTTATCCCATCATATAAGTATACGTTACGAGATCGTTGAGTCAAAATATTTCGTTTTTTTTTCCTCATCTTGGCACGGATTGTCGTGTTTTTTATCTTATAGATGAGGTCACTTAGCGCAGGTTGGCTTTAAGATTCTAATGTTTGATTTATTGATAACATTAGCGTGCCCACTTCTGGCAGCCTTCATCTTTTATACACAACAGCTATTTATTTATTTTTATAGGATTATACTTAATTTTTATATTTCAACAAACTATTTTAATGATTACATCCATAACCATTTATATAATTACACAAAATGTTGTTTTCATGTAATTTTATAATATAAAGAAAACGGTAAATATTTTTGTTTTGAAAGATCACTCGAGGAAATTGACTGGATTATATTAATAAGTAACCGTCCTTATTTTTATACCTTGTGAGGAATTTCACTTAAAACTAAGATTTACTTGATGTGTATATATTACCTATAGTATATTCTAACATGAAAATATTTTTACTGAATATTCAGTATATAATTGAAATGATAAGAGATTAGATATGAAAAATTATTTATAATTTTACAAAAAAGCAGCGCTTACATAGTTGGGGCGTCGTAGTTGAATGCGTAAGCGATCCTGCGACGCCCCATTAAGACGGGGGAAGGTTTTGTTGGGTTTTAGTGGGTAGTACTGGCTGTATTACGCCGGTGAGTCCCACACGTCGTGCGTAAATGCATTTCCCAACGTTAAAAAAAAAAAAAAAAACGCTTACATAGAAAATATATTTAACAGTACATTGCAATACTTTATTTAAAACCTTTTACAATTAACTATTTAGATATTAAATTATCATTTTAATAATTTTGTCTTGAAAAATTACTTAACACAAGAAATATTTAAAATTATAACTGTCGTTACAATTAAAAAACCAACACATTTAATTAGTCCTGTATATTAATAGTTTTATCTTTTCTCATTATCCGGCCATTAGTATCTTAACTGATTTTATAATCTTAATCGGTTTTACATGTGGAAGCTATTACATACTTATTACTTGTTTAATGAGAGACATGTTCTAAGAAACTCATGTTAACGACGGCTGTGTTGTTAGTATGCTCACGTTCCGATTCGATTAATTACTTAATTGCGTATATACTTGTTAAGAAACGCAGTAGTTAATCTGTCGAGACAAAATATTTCTATACATCAAGTTCTAACTTATATGGTACTTGTATTGCACAGTCTATATTTGAAGTACAATGTTGGTTATTATTTACTATATAATATATTATGTATATTGTATATATACAATATTGAGGCAGTAGCCCAGTAGTAGGGGGTCAAATCTTGGTTCTCGCACCTCTAATATTGTCACGTGATTATTACCTACCACTTGTCTAATGATGAAGCACAACATTATGAGGAAACCTGCATGTCTGAGAGAATCTAACTAGTTTTCGTAGTCATGCTAAGCCCGCCAACTCGCACTTGGACAGCTTGGTGGACTATGGCCTGATCCCCCTCACAATCTTCAATGCGAGGCGCGTGCCCAGAAGTTGGAGTTTAAAAAGGGCTGGATGAGATTAATTATCTGTATTATTTAATGTAAAACATTTACGGTTTCTTAACGATTATTTTCAACGCTCGCTTTGAGAAATCTCAAAGAACTTGCTTGAGGAATAAAAAACAATGTAATTATTGGATAGTATTAAACTGCTCGATACTCTTTGTAATTGACTAGGTACTTAATATTCTAACGTAAAAATATATTTTTAGAATAGTAAATGTTTTCATAAAGTTAAGATAAATATTAAAACGATCTTAAACATTCAGTTTAAATACATAAATAGAAAAACATAAAACATATTTCCCCTCAGTACTTTTTTAGAATTTCATGAACTTAGTAGGCACAGTAAAAATTTAAATTAAATACTAGCTGTAAACTTTTTATTAAGTCACATTTAGTGCTCGTGTGTTTTTTGACTTAAAGACATGATATTAAAATTACTACATTCAAAAACATTGTACATTTACAATAATTTATTTAACATGAGTAATTGTTTGCACATATTTATAATTATTTTCATAATTTATCAAAAATCGTGAATAATTTAATAATCTTACTAGCGACTCACCCTCGCTTCGCTTCGGGTATGCCCCTAGAGAAAAACAAATCTATCCCACGGGAACCATACATTTTCCCGGAATAAAAGTAACCTATGTGCTATTCCAGACTACCTCTGTGTCTTTCATCTAGATCCGTTCAGCCGTTCTGGCGTAAAAGAGTAACAAACATCCATCCTCACAAAACTTTCATATTTATAATATTAGTATTGATACGGATATAACCTTACCTATAACTTATTTGTATTGTAATAAGATGTTCTTATAAAAACTCAATTTTAAGAGCATAATATTTTGCTATAAAATACACCTCAAGTCTGATACTAAATAAATATAAGAATAGACGAGATCGGATAAGTCTATGAGCGTACCAGGCAGACAAGGCGCACAAGTAATAAAAAAAGTTACGAGGAGTTATCAAAAGGGCGCAGTAAAGCCGGCTTTGGCGACGCCATAAACTATTTTCCAAGTAATCTTAATTCCCTGTTGCACTGTTACTCCACTAGCTACTAAGCTTTCAAATTTCTTTTTTACTTGAATACCTTCGTAAATTGCAATATTTAACTTTTTCTACCAAAACTGTTGCAGTGTAGTAAATTAAAAACTTACAGATTTGAAGCCTTAAAAAATTGTATTGAATTGAATAATATACAATTATTTAAATTTTGTGCCTTACAATATAATATACCTTTAGAGATGTCACAAATAATATACAGTAAGTAGTCTATGAATATATCCAAATCAGTCAAAGTTCCAAATGAATTTAACAAATATATACCCAACTACATATCTATTAAAATATACTTCAAGTAGTAAATACGTATGTGACAATAAATACGGTACAGCTTTGCTTCGTGTACGTTTGGTCTCGGGTTTATTCGCTATGAGTTAAAGCGAGCTTATCTGAGAGGTTTTATGACTATTTTACGATTATTGCCACTTTGAATTGGTTATAACTTCGTAAGATATGAAAATTCTTTAAAGAAATATATAAATTTAATGTGACATATTCATTTAGCTCTTTTATGCCTTAATTTTTACTACAAAATTCTCATCAAGGACCATATTACATTTAATTGGTGTATGTGTTTTTTTTTTTCAATTTATCTTCATTTAATTAAAGCATGTTTATTTTTTTAAGTACGTTTAGATTACGTTTTTAATTTATGGCATATAGGTACTATATTTACCATTAGTGATATAAGTTTATAGATAATTTGATATGTAATTTTATCTTTTTTTTTGAACAGGGCTACAATGGTGTGTGCGTGTGCGGGGCTGCGGGGGGCGGGCGCGGGCAGCCGGCGCGCATGGCGGCGCCAATGAGGGAGGGCGCGCCGGCCGGCGGAGCTCGCCCCGCGCCCCACGCGCACCCCGCCAACTTCGAGTACGATGACAACGAGTGGGACATCGGCATCGGCGACCTAATCATAGACCTCGATGCCGACATAGAGAAGACCGACGAGGCGGGCGGCATGGCGGCGCGCGCCGAACCGGACGCGCAGCGCACCGCGCTCAAGATGAAGATCAAGCGCACCAAGCCCGGCACCAAGAGCTCCGAGGCGAAGCACGAGATCGTGAAGTCGAATGAAATGAACGGCGAGCCGAAGCCGCCGACTGCGACGACGCCGGCCGCGGCCAAACGCGGCTCGGGCGGCCACCGGCGGGATAAGGCGCGCGAGAAACACCACCACCCGCATCCGCCGCACGATGTGAACGGAGTGGCGCGCGTGCCGCCGCCGCCCAACGCGCCAGGCCCGCCTGCGCCGCCGCCCGCGCTGCCGCCCGCGCCGCCGCACGCGCCGCAGCCCAAACCCGAACCTAGACCCGCCGCGCCGCGTATGGACACCAAGCCGGTGGTGCCACCTGCGCCCGCCGCCGCGCCCCCGGCCGTGGCACCAGCGCCACCGCCCGCGCCCTCTCCCGCCCCCGCGATCCCCCAGCTGGCTAAACCTGAACCTGATGACTCGCGGCAGGACCACAATCCTCAACCTCCGGCTAAGAAACAAAAAACAGAAACTAAGGTAAGGAGTAATCATTTATATCGTCATTCTTTTTAGTTTTTGCACAAAATATTGGAGCTAGCTTGAAATATCGAACCCTCATTCCGAAAGAAAAGGAAAAGATTCAAAAGATTAAAACGTATAAATATTTTTTTTTGACTTCAGATTAAATTTTCAAGTAGATTGCGATATAGCAACAGAACAAAAACAAAAATACCGATAAAACACTAGTTGTAAACTTGCTGAACTGATACCATTAATTACACAAGTTTGCTCGTTATCAACGCGCCAAAGTCGACGTTATTGTGTGTCAACAAGTCTATTTAGGTTTAGCTTTTCTGGGAGTGGTTAAATTGTCAGTCAAAAATAAATATTTGCTAGAAATTTTGAAGATAATTCACTATAAAGAACCGCAACGTTCGTTTAATGTTGTATTTCATGACATACACAGTTTGTTGACATATAATTGTTAGAAGTGATACATGCACCGATTGACATAATGTTACACGATCCTTGATCTAGATCCGAATGACGCGCTCGTGCGTGACTCGCGACAACCTCACGGTGCCGATCAGTCATTTATCAATTACAATAATCGCTAATTGTCCAATTGCTCTTATCGGTCATGTATCTGATTGTTTCGGAGTGTATTTAATTGGCGGGCTTAGGGTGTTTGCGAGGTTGATTGAGTGCAAACGGCGGGGTGTAATCCTCACTGTCGCCCACCGCAGCGGTTCATTAAATCACTCCTCCCACCCTGTGCCTACCTCTCTTTACAAATTAATGCGATTGTGGCCTGCGCTACTTATTTGCTAATCTGAAACACTACAACGTCCGGTTTCGACTTGTAATATTAGATGTGGTCTTAGTATTATCTAATAATTAAATTCGTGAAGATAAGATTGTTCGTTGGAAAAGTAAACGAAAATATATGTTTATTGACAAGATATTATCACTAGTTATTTATTATACCTATAGAAAAGCTAAGTATAAAAGATATTTTTTTTATTTCTTACATTCGATTTCCTTAAAGAAATAAATTTAGGAATACTTAGTTGTTTTTATGTTTGAGTGATTTACATAAAAGTCATAATAATGATTGTAAATTAAGTTGCGGCTGGTAGTGTTATTATGCGATAACATGCACCTGCTAACAGAAGCATCTTGTAATGCATACATCATTAATTAAAAACGTGACGTGGCGTTGTTGCACCAACTCTGCGACCCGACGTGGAACACTTACGGCTCATCACGCTCAACCACAGCAAATTACGCGACAGACTCGGCAGCCGCTTGAGCAATGATATATTATTGCAACCGCTATATTTTATGATAAATCTAAATTGCTTCATATCTGCTGTAGGTAGGTACTTTTAAAAGCGGAGCAAGGGAGCGTCCCTTAGCTTTTCTTGGCATTATTCGTGAGGGGAGCAGAAGAACACGTCCCAGACTCCGAAATTCCTTTCATTAATCACTGTCGAGGGTTCTAAAAATTTCTAAAGTGCTTGCGGAATCAATTTAACGTTCGCCCTCTAGCTGGGGAACTTGGAAGCGTGATAATTAAAGATATCAATTTAATATTCCTTTCGTCTACCCGGCCTTTGACTCTGACATTGTGTTTTATTTGTTCTACTATCTATTTGTGTCAATGTCTTTTGCAATCATGGTAACTATCACAATAGCTACACGGCTATGTTATCGCACACTATAAAATCATTTACCTGTTGACTGTTACGTGTACAAATATTATTTCCATTACTTTTTTAGGAATGAAGTATTTATGCCATATGCTTTATACAATTATTATGAGTGTGAACAATGGCGGTGACACGGAGGGGTGGCGCCCCTGTCTACAATATTTTTACGCCTTATGTCCGTAACTCTATTTACAGTGATGAATAGTAAATTTTATTTTAAATCGTCTAAAATGTGTACGAGATTATAGTTTGGGTTAGTATTGAGAAACACATATTTCTATAACATGTACTAGCGACTCATTCTCGTTTCGCTCGGGTTCGTCCTTAAATACGTTTCAATTTTCCAGCCGTTTTTAATTTTAGCAAAACTAATGAACGGCAATAGATTTTTATATATGTATATAAATTAAACCCGATTAAATTATATTGTGTCGAATGAGATTTTTGATAAAAATATGTAATTTTTAGAATTATCTTAAAAGTCATAAACGCTATGTACTCTACCATTTTACTATATGATACGGGTAATTAAATCCATAATGTTTATTTGATGGCATTCCAGCGTGCTAGTGGTATATTCATAAATATAAAAGTATAGGACACTTTAATTGCGGGTTTAGACCTTTCCTACGGTTAGCACTGAAGTTCTCTTAACCGCATTTTTGCAGTCACCGTCCAACAAATTAGGTTTTATTTTCGAATAAATGTTTTGAATAAATAAACTAACTATAAAAGTATAGTGTTAACTACTTCGTATATGTACCTAATATGTTGTAACTTGTTTATCAAAGCGCCTAGCCGCTCTGTTGAGATGTTATCGATAAACAGCCGTGATTATTTCATATATATTATAGTTAATTGAACCCGATGTCGTAGTCTTCATACATTACAAATTAATAAGGTCCCTATCGGTATGGCTGGGGGCATAGTATGTAATACGTACATTCGTCTCAAACGAGGTTAATATCACTGCCTTGCTGGATTATACTGATCGCTCTGAATAAATTTACATGCTGATTACCGCTAGATCAGTGTTCTCTATACTGTCTGTTGGCTTGTTATAGCTTGTATACATTAAATTAATGTATTTAGATCGTGATTTTTTTATATCGAGTTATTTTTAGAAACAATTTGTTAGGTAATTCATATTTCATCCTCATCTCTATAGCAAACTAGTTTCTAATTTTTATAAATATATTATACTTCTAACATAATGTTTTATCCGGTCAATTAAATTTCACGCTCAAGTACGTACTTGTATGTAATACATACATACATACAGTTTGTTTAATTAATTTTGAACGGTCACTGATTCGATAGCATTATGTGCTTTAATATGTGTATTATTAGTTCGTGTTATACAGATGGTATGTTATTTGCGTGAACAGACACTGGCATGAGTGATAAATTCTGATGAATTTTTCGCTTCAACGACTTTATTTATATCCCACATCGGACGTATCGCGTTACCTGCCTCGGGCGTATCATCATTCATTTCACAAAAACGTTATTGCCTCGGCCGAAAGCCTGCGATGTCTGTTGCGAATTAAAATTTTAATATCGAATTCTCGATGTAATTGATTGATGTTGTAAAATAAATCGCCTCTCGGGACATGGCCCACAGATAGAGCTTGCGGAACGAATCGCTACACTTATTACAGTTAATGACTCGCAATAATTATATTTGTTCCTTCACTCGTCTAAATCGAGGGCTTCCTTGAATATATTAAATTATAATGTTTCAATAAAATCATTATTGATCGTAGGTAATTGATTTTGACCTTTGATAATCCATTAAGTATACATTTATGCTACGTTATAGGTATAGGTTTGCAAAGTAAACGTTGAGTTTTCTTGTAATATTTTTAAAGATTTAACCCGAGAATTTGATGGAGCTTTAATCGTTAGTACTTTTATTAGTTACTAGCATTGCCCGCGGCTCCGCCCGCGTTCAGGTGACCAAAAACCAAATTCTTAGGTTTTACATATTAGTATACTCTTACAATGCAGTTTTTGTATTTTTTCTCAGAAATGAGATATCTTCCTGCGGTAAAAACTATTCTATATGTTGACCCGGATAACCAGCTATCATTATACCAAATTTCATCAAAATCTGTGCAGTGGTTGTCTCGTGATGCGGTAACAGACAGACAGACAAAAATTCGAAAAACTATAGATTCGGCCGGTATTAATGTACGGATTCGGCTTAGTTACAATTTTATTACCTATATGTATAGATTAATTAAGCTTTCAAGAGACGTACGCTAAAGTAGGAACACTGAAGGCGTAAGGAGATAGTAGCAGACGGCAGCTGTCGACTCGACTACTGTGCGGGTAATTATATTATTGGCGTAATTAGGATGTGAGGCCGGGAAAGGCCCGCGGCGCCGACAGCCTGCGTTCTAACAAATGCCATTATTATTTCCGCTTCGTATTATACCTCCGCGGTTTGTTAGCTACTCGTTTATTATGTCAAGAACAATTGAAATGGTAATAAATTCAACACCACATAGCAAATTGATTCAAAATTAATTGCATCGTTTGTTAGATAAGTAACTCCTGTAGCATGAGTTAAATCGATATTCATCACGCTTACAGTTTATATGTTAACGGATTGCGTTCTTACAAATGCAATGCTGCTACTTTCGAGCCGACTGCTTATCAATTATAGTGTCATTTTAAATTAAGCTTTTAAGGAGTGTTGTCAAGTAACACGTTTCATTGGACTCCCGACGATAAATTCCAGAGTATTAGCCGTCATAAACCCATTGAAGTTGTAGGTACGATATACGGATCTCTTGATTGTATCAGCATGCGAGTTGAGCCAGCTTGTAAACGGTCAACAGAGTTGAACGACGAGTCCGTGGTTTTGTTGGTGGAAGCTATAATCCGCAGCTGGCGTATACCTGGCCGTCTCTTTGTTCGAGTGGAAAGTTTTGCCAAGAGCAGATTTGTCGCGGTAAACGTTCACCAAATATATAAACACGAATGTTATTACTGATTAACGCTTTCAGAACTCAGGCTTTGGTTCTCGCTTCAAATGAGCAATTTAATTTGTGGAAATGTAGTAGTTCACGTACAACCATTAAGGATTTAAGCTATAAAAGCATAGGTATGTATAATTATATAATTATTGCATAAATAATTCGTTTTATATAATATGTTAGCCTCAATGATTATTGTTTTTAATAAGTATCTATGTATTTATAAAGGAAATTTAAATATACATACATATGTTCTTCACATATCTTTTTGTTAAAAAATATATATAATAATTTCATTGTTTCAGTGATGTTTAACTTTTATGTCAATAGTAAACGAATT